AATTTGCGGTCGGTGTGGTGGCGGCGGTAGCTGTCACGCCCTCGTCTGTGTAGTCACAAGGGCCACCCGCTCAGTCGCTTCGTGCTCATCTTGCGAAACTAACCATTCTGAGTGCGGTGGAACGCTGAGCGCCGGCCTCGGCCGCACCAGCCACCTGCGCCCTCCCCAATCTCCCGTCTTCTTGACTTTTGTTTTGACATCGGGTATAAGTGTGGCAGTTGTGAGAGAGTTGAGTAGATCCTGCGAGTCTACTTTCATTGTCATTCAGCCGTAGTCACCGCGTCTGCCTTCAGCTTACTGAAGTTCGTGGTGGACGTCGTCGAGAGCCACGGTCGAACTGTTATTACAATCCCACCAAAGTAATCCTTCTTAATCGGAAACGCATCTCCAAATTACGATTAACACTTCATGAGATTGGTCACTAACTGCACCTAAAACGCGCCCTAGTGTGTAATAATCATTCTTCAAGTTAATGAACGGAAGCCAATAAGGCAGAAAAAGGCTGACGAGTGAGTTTTCGCAGACGAAAGAACGCAAGGTTCCGCAATAAGACACAGAAAGTTACTTTTTGCGGTCAAGTACTGAAGCATAAGGGTGATTTTAATGCGTCGCTTAGGGAGAGGATAGGATAAGACCTGTTAATTTTCATCATGCCAAAAAATGCAATGCTCCGGTATATTATGGGAGCAATAACATTGTTTTATTCCCTCTGGGGAGGGAGAAGACCGTATCACTAGCGTTTAACTAATCACAACAGGTAATAAAAACCAACCAGTCTTGTGAAAATTTAAAATACTCTCAAGCCCCCTTTCCCCCCCCCTCCAACCTCCCCGGAAGAAATAGAAAAAAACGAAGCCTGCACTATGAGCGTACGCATGGGGTTTACATTTATGGTATGACCAGGGGTAAGAAGTCTCCTATGTCGCTCTGAGGCGACGGCAGCTATAGGATGGAAGCCAGTTCTACGTAAACAATTTTCTAACCTCGAACTGTCCCAGTGATGAGCAAGTAGTAACTTGTTCCATCCCAAAGGCTAGTGATCACACTCGACTTGAATTCTCTGTAAGGTTCTTTTCGCATTTGCGCAGCAAGACAAAGACTGTCAGTAGGCGAAGAGGAGGTCCCGATATTTCTTGAGATCATTAAATATCGCCTTTTTCAACTCTGGTTTTCATTTAAAAACAGGGTCTCGGGTATGTGTATACAA